GTGTGTAAAAGTGTCTATGTGTAAAAGCTTCTGTGTGTAAAAGCTTTTGTGTGTAAAAGTGTTTGCGTGTAAACGCTTCTGTGTGTAAAAGCTCCTGTGTGTAAAAGGGTCTTTGTTAAAACTGTCTGTGTGTAAAAGCGTCTGTGTGTAAGAGTGTCTGTGTGTAAAAGCGTCTGTGTAAAAGCGTCTGTGTGTAAAAGCGTCTGTGTGCAAAAGTTTCTGTGGGTAAAAGCTTTGTGTGTAAAAGCGTCTGTGTAAAAGCGTCTGTGTGTAAAAGTGTCTGTGTGTAAAACCGTCCGTGTGTACAAGCGTCTGTGTGTAAAAGGGTCTGTGTGTGAAAGTGTCTGTCTGTAAAAGCTCCTGTATGTGAAAGCTTTTGTGTGTAAAAGCTGCTGTGTGTAAAAGCTTCTGTGTGTAAAAGCTTTTGTGTGTAAAAGCGTCTGTGTGTAAAAGCTTCTGTGTGTAAAACTGTTTGCGATGCAAACTATTGTCTTGTACTTGTGCTATATTGTCTTGTTACTAGTCTTCTCGACTGCCTATAACACATCTTTAATATAATGTTTTGTAATATGGTGTCTCCATACTAACAAGAGAAGACCCTGCTCCTCTACGCTCTCGGGCCATCCGTCGTCTAGTTTAGAATTTTATGGTTTTGCTTAATGGACCGGTACAGAACGCTTTGTTTTGCTTAATGGACCGGTACCGGAATGTTTGCGTTTGGTTCATGGCAAGGAACTGCCGGTTCCCAAAGGTTGGAACTCACGGTTGCCAACGTGGGAACCACAGGTTACCATTGCAATGAACTTCCAATTCCTAAAGGTTGGAACTGATTTTTCCCAACGTGGGAACCACAGGTTACCATCGCAATGAACTTCCAATTCCTAAAGGTTGGAACTGATTTTTCCCAACGTGGGAACCAAAGGTTACCATGGCAAGGAACTGCCGGTTCCCAGACCTTGAAACTTACGGTTCCCAACCTGGGAACCAGAGGTTACCATTGCAAGGAATTGCCGGTTCCCAGAAGTTAGAATTTATGTTTTCGAAGCTAAGCGGCTATCATTGTAAGGAACTGCGGGTTCCCAAAGCTTGAAACTCATGGTTCCAAGCCTGAAAAAGCATACGTTACCAGCGGAAGGATCTGTTGATTGCAAAAAGTTAGAACTCATGGTTCTTAATGTTGTTTTGTTTACTGAGCCGGTAACAGAACCTTTTGTTTTGCTTAATGGACCGGTAGCGGAATGTTTGCGTTTGGCTGTTGGGCCGGCATAAAAATGTTTTTGCACGAAAAAGGTGCATGTCAAAATGATATGAAAACAGTTTCTTTACAATTTTATGGTTTTGCTTAATGGACCGGTACCGAATGGTTTGGCCGGGTACCGGTTTGCGGTTCATTGCAAGGAACTGCCGGTTCCCACAAGTTAGAAGTCATGGCTCCCACAATGGGAACCAGAGGTTACCATTGCAAGCAACTGCCGGTTCCCAGAGGTTGGAACTCATGCTTCCCAACCTGGGAACCATAGGTTACCATTGCAAAGAACTTCCGGTTCCTAAAGGTTGGAACTGACGGTTCCCAACGTGGGAACCAAAGGTTACCATGGCAAGGAACTGCCGGTTCCCAGACCTTGAAACTTACGGTTCCCAACCTCGGAACCAGAGGTTACCATTGCAAGGAATTGCCGGTTCCCAGAAGTTAGAATTTATGTTTTCGAAGCTAAGCAACTATCATTGCAAGGAACTGCGGATTCCCAAAGTTTGAAACTCATGGTTCCAAACCTGAAAAAGCATACGTTACCAGTGGAAGGATCTGTTGATTCCAAAAAGATAAAAATCATGGTTCTTAATGTTGTTTTGTTTTGTTTACTGGGCCGGTAACAGAACCTTTTGTTTTGCTTAATGGACCGGTAGCGGAATGTTTGCGTTTGGCTGTTGGGCCGGCATAAAAATGTTTTGCACGAAAAAGGTGCATGTTAAAATGATATGAAAACAGTTTCTTTACAATTTTATGGTTTTGCTTAATGGACCGGTAAAGAACGCTTTGTTTTGCTTAATGGACCGGTACCGGAATGTTTGCGTTTGGTTCATGGCAAGGAACTGCCGGTTCCCAAAGGTTGGAACTCACTGTTGCCAACGTGGGAACCACAGGTTACCATTGCAAGGAACTGCCGGTTCCCAGAGGTTGGAACGCATGGTTCCCAACCTGAGAACCAGAGGTTACCATTGCAAGCAACTGCCGGTTCCCACCTGGGAACCACAGGTTAGCATTGCAAAGAACTTCCGTTTCCTGAGGTTGGAACTGATGGTTCCCAACGTGGGAACCAAAAAAGGTTACCATGGCAAGGAACTGCCGGTTCCCAGACCTTGAAACTTATGGTTCCCAACCTGGGAACCAGAGGTTACCATTGCAAGGAATTGCCAGTTCCCAGAAGTTAGAATTTATGTTTTCGAAGCTAAGCAACTATCATTGTAAGGAACTGCGGGTTCCCAAAGCTTGAAACTCATGGTTCCAAGCCTGAGAAAGTAACGTTACCCGTGGAAGGATCTGTTGATTGCAAAAAGTTAGAACTCATGGTTCTTAATGTTGTTTTGTTTTGTTTACTGAGCCGGTAACAGAACCTTTTGTTTTGCTTAATGGACCGGTAGCGGAATGTTTGCGCTTGGCTGTTGGGCCGGCAAAAAAATGTCTTTGAACGAAAAAGGTGCATGTCAAAATGATATGAAAACAGTTTCTTTACAACTTTATGGTTTTGCTTACTGGACCGGTACAGAACGCTTTGTTTTGCTTAATGGACCGGTACCGGAATGTTTGCGTTTGGTTCATGGCAAGGAACTGGCGGTTTCCAAAGGTTGGAACTCACGGTTGCCAACGTGGGAACCACAGGTTACCATTGCAAGGAACTGCCGGTTCCCAGAGCTTGGAACTCCTGGTTCCCAACCTGGGAACCATGGGTTACCATTGCAAGCAACTGCCGGTTACCAGAGGTTGGAACTCATGCTTCCCAACCTGGGAACCATAGGTTACCATTGCAAAGAACTTCCGTTTCCTGAGGTTGGAACTGATGGTTTCCCAAGTGGGAACCAAAGGTTACCATGGCAAGGGAACTGCCGGTTTCCCAGGACCTTGAAACTTACGGTTCCCAACCTCGGAACCCAGAGGTTTTACCATGCAAGGGAAATTGCGGTTCCCAGAAGTTTTAGACTTTTTTGTTTTCGAGCTAAGCAATATCATGTAAGGAATTTGCCGGTTGCCGAAAGCTTGAAACTCATGGTTCCCCCAAACCTGAAAAGGCCATAGTACGTTACCAGTGGAGGATCTGGTTGTTTCCAAAAAGTTAGAACTCATGGTTCTTAATTGTTGTGGGTTGTTTCTGAGCCGGTAACAGAACCTTTGTTTTTGCTTAGTGAGACCGGTAGCGGATCTTTGCGTGGCTGTTGGGCCGGCATCATCATTATATAATATAAAAATGTTTTTGAACGAAAAAGGTGCATGTTAAAATGATATGAAATCATTTTCTTTACAACTTTATGGTTTTGCTTAATGGACCGGTAAAGAACGCTTTGTTTTGCTTAATGGACCGGTACCAGAATGTTTGCGTTTGGTTCATGGCAAGGAACTGCCGGTTCCCAAAGGTTGGAACTCACTGTTGCCAAAGTGGGAACCACAGGTTACCATTGCAAGGAACTGCCGGTTCCCAGAGGTTGGAACTCCTGGTTCCCAGCCTGGGAACCATGGGTTACCATTGCAAGCAACTGCCGGGTACCAGAGGTTGGAACTCATGCTTCCCAACCTGGGAACCATAGGTTACCATTGCCAAGAACTTCCAGTTCCTAAAGCTTGGAACTGATGGTTCCCAACGTGGAAACCAAAGCACATCACGCTGCACAGCACCCTGCACAGCACCCTGCACAGCACCCTGCACAGCACCCTGCACAGCACCTTGCACAGCACCCTGCACAGCACCTGAAGAGCACTCGCCACTGCAGTCTGGACAGCACCCTGCACAGCACCCTGCGCAGCACCCCGCACGGCACCCTGCACGGCCACCCTGCACAGCACCCTGCACAGCACCCTGCACAGCACCCTGCACAGCACCTTTGCCAGACTTCGCCACCACAGCCCGGACAGCAACCTGCAGAGCACCCTGCACAGCACCTTTGCCAGACTTCGGCAACGCAGTCTGGACAGCACCCTGCACAGCACCCTGCGCAGCACCTGTGCCAGACTTCGCCACCGCACTCTGGACAACACCCTGCAGAGCACCCTGCACAGCACCTTTGCAGACTTCGCCACCGCAGTCTGGACAGCACCCTGCACAGCACCCTGCACAGCACCTTTGCCAGACTTCGCCACCGCAGTCTGGACAACCTGCACAGCACCCTGCACGGCACCTTTGCCAGACTTCGCCACCGCAGTCTGGACAGCACCCTGCAAAGCACCCCGCACAGCATCCACAGCACCCTGCACAGCACCTTTGCCAGACTTCGCCACCGCAGTCTGGACAGCACCCTGCACAGCACCCTGCACAGCACCTTTGCCAGACTTCGCCACCGCAGTCTGGACAGCACTCTGCACAGCACCCTGCACAGCCAGACTTCGCCACCGCACTAGTACAGCACCCTGCACAGCACTCTGCACAGCACCCTGCACAGCACCTTTGCCAGACTTCGCCACCGCACTAGTACAGCACCCTGCACAGCCCACTGCACAGCACCTTTGCCAGACTTCGCCACTTGCAGTCTGGACAGCACCCTGCACAGCACCCTGCACAGCACCTTTGCCAGACTTCGCCACCGCAGTCTGGACAGCACCATGCACAGCACCCTGCACAGCACCCTGGGCTCAAAAGTTCGCCACCGAAGACCCCACCTTTGAGAAGTGAGAACCCCTATAGCTTGCCAGCTATCTGGGGAAAAAGAAACAGTGGAAGCTACCCGAACTGCGTGCAGCCCCGTCAATTCGCTTAGGCGTCCAAGGTTTGCTTCAGCTTTAGACTGCGCCTGAGGCATTTGGGATTGGATGTTCAACTGCAACGCGTGACCTCTGTCATCGATGGCTTCCTTGAACTTTGTGAGCAAAATGTAAGAGGAGAGCTGCTGCCCGGCAGCGGACTGGCATGGCGAAAGTTGCTGACCTACACGGGAAGTTGCTTCAGGCACTGTGGGGCATGAGGCTGCTTCAAAATCATTCATGGAATCATTCATGGGGTCATTCATGGAACATCATGTGTGTAAGTGACTCATGGGTGTGACCATGCTTGGTGCAAAGAAGATCCAAAGCTTTGCAATTCGTTTGGGGAAAAAGTAGGGGCCAAAGACGGAGGTGTTTCTATTTGACATGTTCCCCGCATTCATTTGGTTGATTGGGAAGTGCCGCTTCTATTGAATGTTGCTGGGATTGGTCGCAATCCTTCTGACCTATACCGACCTGTGTCATCCTATCCTATATCTATGCCCTATGCTGACCTGCGGCAGGTATGTCAATACAACCTCTGGCGAGCGTTTGAAGGTCATTAAGGCCAAGCCATGCCGTCAGGAATTGTCTGAAATCTTGGCTCAGGGTGGTCATAATGCCGGCCATGAGCAAATTGAATCAGGTGCATCTTAAAGGTGCATTGGCAAGTAATCAAGATAAATATAGCACTTATCGAATGCTGTAGCACCATGCAACAGCCATTTTTCAGTTTGTGGAGTTGCGGTGTTTGCTGCCAATGAGAATTTTGATCTTGCTGCTCCAAATCAAAGTAGTGGTACTAGAAGAAAAATGGAAAACATGTGGAACACGCTCCAAATTTATCCAATCTCAGAATTCTTTCAGATCCAGCTTTATGCTACTTTGACTGCGCAACTCAAGTCAAGACCGCATCATCATTGCCAAATCTTGACGCATTTTCTACAATTCTGAGCCAGACTTCTCTTCCCCAGCCAGAGCGTGGATTCCAAACCAAAAGCTGCCTGCGAAAGGACTTTCTTGCGTAGCGCATAAAAGCCGCAGCTCGTCTCCTGTTGTGCTTTTAAGGGGCCATACTATATATAGAAGTCCTTGCTGTCCACCGATTATGTTCGATATTTGTGTTCATGTCGTGCTAGATATTTGTCTACACATGTGTCTAGGTGATTGTTTGTGTAGGCGTCCCCAGCGCTGGCAGATGGTTCAAAGTGAAGATAAAATCGGGTTGCACGACCCAATTTTCTTAAACCCATCTGTAGCTAACATCCCAACAGCTTAAAACGCCTTTCCGGCAGGCAGATTGGGAAACGATTGCCAGTGCAGGGGAGCAAGATACCGGCGAAAACCATTCGTTCGCGGGAATGTGCGCCTTCAGCATGGGAATCATGGGCGAAGAAGCCGAAGGCGCAAGATGGCGCAGCTTTGGCAGCTTCTTTCACAGCTCTCACATGTTCTCTCACAAGTTCACAAGTTCTTACCTGTTCATGGTTCCGAGGGTATAGAACAGATTGGGCCAAGAGCGTTTGAGCCAATTTGGGAATGCATTCGGGCGTGGGTTTGGCCTCTTGTGCCAGTGCCACTCTTTTCTTTGCTGCAAATCAAGCTGCGGCAAAACCAATGATCCTCCTCTGTACTACCAGTTTTTTTCCTGGGAGTTCAGTACGCTTTTTAAAAAACACTATTTTCCAAAAATCTAGCAGACAGTGGGTGAGGGTCCGGGGGCATGATATGGGGCCAGGAATAAAATATCATACCAAAAAAGGCCCAGATTTTTTTTCCTGAAAGCTTCCTGACGTACAGTGACAGGAAATCAATTTCTGTCTGTTGTGATTGAGGGGGGATTGATCTATCAGTCTGTGTATGTAAGGCATCAGGAAATCAATCATGAATGACTCTGATAATGGGTAAGTTTGTAGAATTCCCAAGGTTAGTCGCCAGGAATTTGAAGGTGGATGGATCAAATGGGAGTTTACTAGAACATATCTAAATGTCAAACCCCAGGAAAAAAATGTACCGTGATTAATTGAGGGGGTATGATTCTTTACATGACTTTGCAAAAGGGTACAAACACATATGTTCAGCTTCACCAACCAAAAAAGGTGACTTCAAGAGGCCGAGGCGCACGTGTCAAAAATAAAATCCAAGGGGCTGGACCTTTTTTGACTGAATACTTGCGGATGATCTTCAAAGGTTGGCCCCACAGGAAAAAAGTCGCATCACCAGGCCAATCATCCACTGATAGGACATGATGGGACGAATTCAAGAATTTTGTGTCAACGCGCGCCCAAATTGCAAAACACATGTTTTTTTTGCTGAAAATACAGTTGTCCTTGCAAAAGGGTACAGACACACATGTTCAGCTTCACCAACCAAAAAAGTGACTTGAAGAGGCCGAGGCGCAGGTGTCAAAAATAAAATCCAAGGGGCTGGACCTTTTTTGACTGAATACTTGCGGGATAATCTTCAAAGGTTGGCCCCACAGGAAAAAAGTCGCATCACCAGGCCAATCATCCACAGATAGGACATGATGGGACGAATTCAAGAATTTTGTGTCAACGCGCGCCCAAATTACAAAACACATGTTTGTTTGCTGAAAATACAGTTGTCCTTGCAAAAGGCTACAGACACACATCTTCAGCTTCACCAACCAAAAAAGTGACTTGAAGAGGCCGAGGCGCAGGTGTCAAAAATAATATCCAAGGGGCTGGACCTTTTTTTGGCCGAATTCTTGTGGATGATCTTCAAAGGCTGGCCCCACAGGAAAAAAATCGCATCACCAGGTCAACCATCCATAGATAGGAAATGATGGGACAAATTGAAGAATTTTGTTCCAACGCGTGGCCAAATTACAAAACAGGCGATTTTTCCTGAAGATACATTTGTCCATGCAAAAGGGTTGCGCATTGCCGTGGGCATTTTGCCGGACCGCACTCGTGAAGCCGTGGACTCTGAAAAACTGCGAGCTGTCAGCCGGGAAGTCAGGTGCCAGGAATTCATTTTTTTCCGTATCAGATTGAGGGGGGGAAGATATGGCATGTTACCAACGCAAGCATCCAGGAAATATTTTTTTTTACTTGGATATCAGAGGGGTAAATTTATTGGATGTTGGACGTTGGGCACCAGGAAATTAGCAAAGAAAATTCAAAAAGGTGGTTGGAAGTGAGATTTCGGCTTCAGAGGTTAGGAGCCAGGAATTTAAAGC